GGTCGCGTACGTGTGTGTGCGCTTAGTCACCTCCACCAACTAATGGCAGCCTAGTGTTTCTAAACTTGGCGTTTTGTGCACCGTCTTGACTGCCGCAAGCTGGGCGTTGAGTGACTCGGGAGGTGGTTGATGGAAGGTTGGTTTACTTTGGCAGTGTCATACCCCCATGGAATTAGCATGGCTATAAACAAAGGTCAATTCTAATCATGCGGGTTTACTGTGCTGTTTCACTGGCTCTCACCGTGTGTTTATTCAGTCTTGTGGTTATCGGTGAGTCACCACCAGCCCCTATTTTTCGAGTAAGAGTGAAAATAGCAGCCCCTTGTTCTTTTGTGTTGCGGATCACCATGCGAGATGTTGGTCAGCATCGTCTAATAATGTCAAGTGAACGAGGTATAAGTGCTCTATTGTTATTGATGGTAATCAGTGTCGATTTGTCCTGTGTACTGCTCGATCTATGCGCCCTAGTGAATAGGGGCGGGAGTGCCACTGAAATGGGGACTTAGCTTCTCTGTCTGTTACAGCGCGAGCTTCGATTCGACAGTGCGCCTGTGGGATGTGACTACGGGGACGTGTCGGCAGACGTTGCAGCGGCACACGGAACCCGTCTACAGTGTGGCTTTCAGTCCTGATGGGCGCTACCTCGCCACTGGCTCCTTCGACCAGTGTGTCCATATCTGGAACGTTGATGTGAGTCACCCCTCTACTCCACCCTCCCTTCCAGCATTCCTTTTTCACCTGGCCGTGTGCGTTCATGTGAGAAAGTGACCAACATCGTGTTCACCTGCTTGCTCGCCTCACTGGCCGGCTCGTCCTCCTCTTGCGCCCGGCTGCGCGCTCTCCACACCGTCGTCCTTTTTCCGTGTGTGTGTGCGTGATTGTGTATAAATCATCGCACGCGCGTGCATTATGCGTCATTCATTCACCGTGCTCGTTAGTCATGCGCCTTCTGGGGCCCTCTACCCCGCTAAGCTCCCTTGCATGTGTGCGTTTGTGCGCGTCTGTGAGCCTTTGCTGCTCTTCCCGTGGGATCCTTCTTCTCTCAGACCCGGTTCTGGGACAACTGAGTTGGTTGCCATTCTCCTTTTTTGCACTCCGTTTTGACGCTTATTCCACTGCACCTTGATCATGCAAACAATTCAATACACTTAGACTTGGAAACGCAGTATAGGTAGGTTTATTTCGTGTGTACAGGAGGACTGAGAGGGCACTAGCATAGTTGGCATTGGTAGATTCAGCAGGCTTTCCCTTGAGAGATTAAATCTTTCGTTTGGTTTGCCTCTGTTTCCTCTTTGAAAGAGCCTTATCTGCTTGTCTCATTGGTACTTCTAACTACTTCCGCTGCCGTAGCGAATCCTACCCATGAGCTGCCTTATCGCATGTGGAGAACTCCCAACGGCGTCATGGGATGCTCAGGTCTGGATGTGGATTTTTATAGGTGTATAGAAGGTTTGAAAGTCTAGTGCTGTGGTGGTGCGAGCAGAGCTCTTCACCACAGAAGTGGAGGTCGGTTCTTGCCGGGCTGACGGCTAAAAGAGCTGCCACACCGCTGCGTGTCCCCCATTCTCGACTACCCCAGTAATCACACTACGACATTCCTCATCATTTTAATGAAGTGTAATTAAGTTAAACTTGAAATGCGAAAGCCGCATGATAACATTATTTCACCATGAACATACTTCCGAATTCGTTAACTTGTGATCTCTCAGAATTCAGTGATGCTCATGTTTCGCTTTTACTAGTAAATCGCCTTAAAGATGTGCGTTTAGGAAGTAATTCCACTGTTATCATATTTGGCAAGTCGATCGCTTTTTAGTTTTTTTTTCAATGACACCTAATCAAGCGTATTTGTTTGGGAATTTCACTCCAATTTAAATTCTGTTGCTGTCCATAGTGCAAAACTTAAAACCGGTGGGTAGTTGTCAACCCGCTAATGCAATTTCCGTAGTTGCATCGGAGACGGCTTTTTAACGTAATCAGTCGTAACCAGGTGATTGAAGATTGGCGTTTTCCTAGTAAGGGTTAACAATGGTTGATTTTGAAGTGACTTGGCATTTCACTGGTAACCTTCAACCCTTTGATGCGATGGCATCTGTGGTAGTTTGTGTTCTTGAACATGCAATCACTCGCACACGCATGTGTTTACCTATTTGTGTGTGTGTGTGTGTGTGTTTACGTATGTGCATGCATTTATACCTGCCTGTTTTCGGTAAGGCTACACGTGTAGCCTAACACCACCTGATGCAATCCTCTACATTTACGGCTCTTGGCAATAGAATTGGGTACCTCCTTACCTGCGCCAGTGGTACAGGAGTTTGAGCGCCTTTTTGTTTCGTTTCAGACCGGTGAGCCTATCAACACGTACCGAGGCACAGGAGGCATCTTTGAGGTTTGTTGGAATTCCCGAGGGGACAAAGTGGGAGCCAGTGCTTCTGACGGCTCTGTAGGTTGTATTTCTGATAGGATTACCTTAAATTCTCATTTGCTGATGAACAGACCTCTTAACCCCAGCCTATTGTCAATCAGTTGCGCCCTACATGCGGGTGTTCGTGCACCAGTTAATGGGTTTAATTTTTTTCTGCTACGTTTAGGTGGTCGTACTGGACCTGCGACGATAGAATCCGTGTAGCGGTGCACTCTTCGGCTCCTCGTTTGTCCGTGTCCATGCGTATATGTGCGTGTGTTCGTGCATGGTGAACGAGTCCGTTCCATCCAACCAGCTCTCCACCTGTCTCTCGTTGTGCCGTCTTTCCACCACCTCTCAAATGCAGCAGAAGCAGCAGCAGCGTTCAAGTCTCCGACAACAGCAATCACTACCTCTGTGTATCTGTCCCTACCCGCCCACTCATTGCCCGCTCCTAGCTCCTCTTGGTCTTGGTCTTCTTTCAATGCATCTCCCAAGTTGCCTTCTAGAACGCATGCTTGCTCCTGCACGCACGTGAACGCACACACACACCTATTTCGACAATTTCCCGCGTCATATTTGTACATCTCATCCCTCTTCGTCCCAGCAGCATCAGCGGCTCCTCTTTTACCATCAGTGCTCATATTGTAGTATTCCAATTGTTACCACGTCCACACATGCACATGTGCGTCTGCGCGCGCGCGTACGGGGACCCTACCTCCATTCGTCCTCCTTTTGTACATGGTCTTCTCTTTCTCACACGAAAACGATGATGCTTCACTTTTCACTCTTCCTGTTCTAACGACTTCCTCAAAGAGGAAACGGAAAGTGGATGCGTGCGCGCGCATGTGCACAAACACCCCGTGACAGTGGTTCTGGATTCTTGGAAACACTTGTCTTGGCATTCGTGTGTGGTTTGTCCACTGTTTCTCCTTCCACTCTCCCCTTCATGCGTGTGTGTGCTTGTAGAGATTGACCTAATTCCATTGTGTATAATAACTCTCCCTTGAGGTCCTCTCCGTTCATATACTAACTCTTTCGCTATCACTGTTACCACTGTTGCTAATGCTACCAGTGCTGCCAATGCTATTTACCGTCGCTACTGCCAACCGTGTGAAGACTCGATCGTGCTATCACTACCGTTGCTGTCGCCATGATCCACTGCAATCATGCTGCCCCGTTTGTGTATGTACATTAGTTTTTACCACATCCAGGTAAAACCAAATTCTTCTGATGTAGAGGCTTGTGTCCCTCGGGCCGGTATCTACCTGGGTCACTTGCTCATGGCACCGAAGGGGTTGATTGCAGCTGTGTCATTTTCGCGTAGGTGGGTGGCGACGGGACTGGTGTGTGCCTGACTAGGTTCTGGTGCAGCGGAACATGGGAGGCGGAGGATTTGGTGGGGTGTGAGTTGTGCGGATTTCCCAGTTCGAGGGAGGTAGGGTGTATTCGTTCTTAGGGCCTTCATAACTGAAGTAGGCAGCATTGACTTTTACCAGTGATTGGGTGCGACGCCATTACGGATGTCAGCTACCATCTACCTGTGGGGGGTAGTGGCCCGCACTACTCTCTGAGATGTTTGTAAAATTAGGTGGTGAGAATGAAAAGCTTTGGGAATTGATTCATAGATTGTAGTTCCCGAAATTCACTGATGTGGCTGCTGCACGGTACGGTAAGACCCACATACATTTTTTGCGTAAAGTCAAAATATTCTAGGTAGTTCTTGCGTCCTCTGTCATGATTACTCACCAATTATAACAATCTACGCTTTTAGGAAAACAGAATTTTAGAAAAGATAAATTTTGAAACATCAAACTAAAAGAATAAATAGGGATAATTTTCTAAGGTTTTTTTTAGATGCAGTGCAGGTATCTTAAACGGTAAATGTACAGTAAGTTGTTGTAAATAATCTGGTACGCGACTTAAAACAAGTAGCGGCGGATTGTTTGGGAAGTGGCGTTTGGTAAGTGTTTATTTTTTTTCGCGTCTTTATGCTTGGGGTGTTTGGTCTGATGTTTTCACAGAGGAGATTAATGAATTAAAAAGATTGCGTAGTGGATATCGCGTCCCTTTGTGCTGTATGATAATCCTTATTTGTTTTGTTTCATCACTATTCATGGGATTGTAGCGAAATTCCATTCAGGTTGTGCCTTTTTGCTAGTGTTGTTGCATCAACTTGTTAACATCGATTTAACTGATAATTTGGTTGACCTACTGCTTCTTCTTGTGTATGTGTCTGCATATATCACAGATGGGAAGCCCGCAGTAAGGAACCGCAGTAATTCTCTGTTTTCACGTTGGATTATGCAGTATTTTGCATTAGATCAGTACTAAAGTTGTGGAATACTGATACTTAATCACATGCGTTTGTATCGCTCCGGCACTACCTTAATGTCGAAAATAGACAATGTCGGGGGCAGAATCTGTATGATAGAAGTACAGAAGATTCGAAGAGCTACTAGCGTGGACCAGATGCCATGCTGCCTAGCGGAAGTACGAAGGCGGAACTTTAATTTTCCTTGAAATCGAAACAAAGAGATAAATAAGTAGTTGGAGTACTGCATATTTTTGTATTATTCATTGTTTTTTATAGAATATGAGTACCCGCCGAGGTCTCTTCTTCCCTCCGAGATGGCTAAAGTGCCCTCGTGTGGGAGGCCTTCTCGTTGATCTGTTTATTCCTTTCAAAACTCCTCTTGATCATAAGTACACCGACTTCATTCCTTCCGATGAAATTTTTGATCCAGACAGTCTGTTCGATTATATCAAACCGGTTAGTCTCTTATTTGGTCATTGGTCTGCACTTATCACTGCGTAGTACTGTTGAAAACTTATATCAGTTTATTCGGAAGATGCAATAATGCCTCCAGAACCCACTAATTACGCTGTTTTTTCCCACTAATTTAGTACCAGCTTGGTCTTGTCTTTGATCTTACCAAATCCACCCGCTTTTACCATCGGAAAGAGATAGAGGAGCACGGTTGCGCTTATGTGAAAATTGCTTGTAAGGGCAACGAGGAGTGTCCGACAGAAGAACAGGTGAATCTTTTCATTGGCGTAGTGAACAATTTCGTGTCAAAGAACAAGGAAAATGGAAAAAAGATTGGCGTTCATTGCACTCACGGCTTCAATCGAACGGGCTTTATGATTGTGGCTTACCTTGTTCTCGAATGCAACTACAGGCGAGTTCACGCGTCGATGGTTATACTGCTATTTTGGTGATAAGTCTTAAATGCTTGTTTTGTATCTATCTCTTTCCATCTAGTTTGGAACTTGCTCTGAAGCTATTTTCAGATGCTCGCCCTCCGGGGATCTACAAGGCGGACTATCTCATGGAGCTTTACAAACGATTCGATGATCCTGACGATTGTCCTCCTGCCCCGGAACTCCCTGACTGGTGCTATGGTAAGACTTCTTTTCATTCGACCGTAAAATTTGCTACTGAAACGTAATTTCTGCTTACTAATAAACATTACCTATGCTGCCTTTGGCAGCTTTGATGGAACCCATTTTTCGAGTTTGACATTTTTTAAAATTGTACTCATCCACTTGCCCCTTTGTGACACTTCGGTTATATTTAAACGCGGGAGTTTGCTGGTGATTTTTAAATACCACTTCATACGCATAGCAAAACAATGTTTTTATTCCGGAAAAAATGAGGCTTTTAGTTGGCAGCCTCATTTGAAGCAGGTGGAGCCATTGTGTTGTGTGAAGTCATTTGGAAATAATCATTTTAAAACGGAATTTTTCATCGAGGATGTTATCTGGTCACTTCAATCATGTTTTGTCTTGTTCAACCTACCAATTGGCATAGAAGATTTCACAATGTCTTATTATTAAGGTAAATTTAACTGGTGAAGAAAGTTGTTTAATGAAATACAGCGTCACATTGTACCCCTCTGTTAACGTGAGGATAGTGTAATTGGTAAAGAATGTCCTGCTATTCCGGTGTTTTAATTTAGAAGAAACCTTTGAAAGTGCCTACTCTTCTGCACCTTCGAGGAAGCGCAAACATCCAGATGGTCCACAAAAACACAATAATGACGTCGACGACGGAAATGATGGTGAGGATATCACCGCTGGTAGCGGTAACGAAGACGGTATAGTCTCCGTCTCTTCCAACTCTACCTTCACTACGCGCCTGCCGCCAACACCGCCAGGCCAACCCAAGCTGATGGAGGATGTGATAGACGTGGAAACCCTCGATCAGGCCTCCGAGGAAGCACATCTCGTCCGCACCGTAGTCGACTACCTCATCAAGCTGGGCGGTGTTTGGCTTCGCAGCGAGGGTACAGACCAAGAACCTCTGCATCCTCCCGTCTCCAGTCTTTCTGAGGTCATCCGCCGCGAGCCCCTCAGTCTCCCGCTTAACTGTGATTCTACACTCCGTTTTCGTGGCAGCCAACCCGTCTCCATGACTCGTCGCAACGCTCGTCTCATTGTAGACAACCCCTATGTGGTGACCTACAAGTCAGATGGGACTCGTTATCTCATGCTCATTCACGGTCCTCGGCGAGTCTATCTCATCGATCGGGGCAATTTTGTCTACAAGGTGGGGTGCTTAGAGTTCCCCACGGTTTCGTGGTTACAGAAGGCGTTGAAGGCCCGGCAGAACAATACTGCTCCATCTGATTTCATGACCGAACCAGGCGGGCATCTGGTGAACACCCTGTTGGACGGTGAGCTCGTGGCCTTCGATAACACTCCCGATAGGCCGATTAAGTTCCTGGTCTTCGATGCCGTGGTAATCCAGGGCTATCCTTGTGGCAGGGAGCCATTCGCGAGTCGATTAAATTATATTGAGAGGTTCATCATTCGGCCCAGGAATGATGCAGGGCACAAGGAGTTGGTAAATTTCACCAAACAGACGTTCTCTGTGCGAAAGAAAATCTTTTACCCGTTGGGTTATGTTCCCAAGGTGAGCTTGACAGGCAGTTTATTAGAAGTAGTACAAGTAGGAGACGGCTTTTTGATTTTTAATTTTATCTGTGCTTGAACAGAATCAATGTATACGGCTGCCTAATGCATGGCGCGTAGTTCGAGTGCTTTAGAAGTTTCTTTCCGATAGTCGTTTCTGGAAGTCTAGGTTTCATTAGGTTTTTTTACACCGTAAAACTGTTGAGAAGTAAAATGGGGTCCTCAAGTACAATTTTCAGCTGGAAACCGTGAATGTGTTTGCTAATTCCCGTCCCAATAGGCGATTCCAATTCGAGTAGGATTCAATAGTGGTTCTTTCGCGGTTTATCAGTTAGCGGATTTGTGTTTTGGTCGTGTTTACCTCAATCCTCGTGGAGGTGGAGCTCAATAGAAACGAAATTGCTTCCGGAACTTTCTATTTCATTGAAACTCGCCTTATTTGAATTTTTCATATTTATGGAACTGCAGTAGCTGGTGTGCAGGCAGCTCAAAGCTTTGACGAATAAAGTATTTGGCGAGGCGAGTGTGGTATCTAAGATATTTGCAGCATTGCTTACTCTTGTATTTCCCCCCCCCCCCCCACCCACAGCTTATCATTCCTAACCGAGAAGAGTTGCAGCATGAGACTGATGGATTGATCTTCCAGCCAGCAGGACCACAGGACGCCTACGTGTTGGGTACCTGCAATGAGACGCTGAAGTGGAAACCGCCGGAATTGAATACCATTGACTTTCGCTGTCGCATCCACTTTCACACTGCGCTTGCGTGCGTTTCTGGTTTTCCTATGGTTGAACCATTCGTGAAGCTTTTGCAGATTGAAGATTTATGCGAAGGCATTGCTAGTTTTTTTCTCCCTAGAAAACTTGTAGTTTGCTGGCACATGAGTTACTGATGACGAAGTTATGGGCTACACGGCTCTCGGTCCTCAACAATATGTGAATTTTGTACAAGTGTGTTATTGGTTCCCCTATCGTCCTGATTTCTTTCCTATCTTACTCTTCATTATCATTTGGATACCATTTAGCCATCTATGAGGGTTATGTCTAAATCCTTACAGCGGAGGGGCCAGGCTTCTGGAATGCGCTCATCAGGAGCATTCCATTTGGATCATACTAATTTGTTCAGTACTGTAGCGCAAAACTTGTGGTTTGGGTAGTCGCCGATCAGTTGGTGGTGATTGTTGGATTTTGAATGGATCTCGCAGTAGGTACCTTTCCCATATCATAGCAAGTCAGTTCATTTAAGTGTTTTGCACCATTGAAGAGGAGGCATCCGCCACGGATTCAAAGGCATTGGAAAGTGTCTCACCCCGCTGCTACCAATGTCTCCCGAATTAGTTTCAGTAGAAGTCTTCTTTGTCTTCTTCGGCCAAACAAAATAGGAAGACCTTTCTGGCTGTTTTTACTTTGTATAGTATTCAAGCCTTTACCTCCTCCAAATTTAGAATGTTTTCTAAATTGCATCTATGCTGAATTTTGCTTCCTTGTAATATGCAGTGGTCTCTCGTAGACTTTGGTCATTATTAAATCCCATAACTGTGCACCTGACGCTTACTTTTAGAAATAGTAACGCTGTATTTCTCTTAAGCAGCTGCGGAGCAAACGAGATCATATTTGGCTGCTTTTAGGAGGCCACCTATTTTACCACCGGATGGTCTGAATTTATACTTTTTGTCTCGTCATAAGTAGGGATGAACTACTTTTAATAAACAATATGTCGAGGAATCAAGCTTCCTCCAAATAACGAGACCCATTTAGGACACTTGGCTTTACATCGATCGCCAATCAAAACTTGATGCCAAATATTTGTGCCCATTTGGCACACATTAAGTAAATCTGTATCTGTTTCTGATTCTATTTTCACAGAATCTGACTATTGTTTACAAATCCGCTTCGTGTTTGTGTATTAGTGCACATTTCTTTGTCAAAGCGTAGGAATTTAAGAATTATAGGAGCCTAAAGTGGTTGTTACTGTGCTTTTCGTGTTCAGAGAGGTGAGCCGGTATGTGGGGGAGTTGTATTTGAGCGGCTCCTCGGTGCCAAGCGCACATTTGGCGCGTGTGACCTCGCAGGACCAGGACCTCAATGGTAAGATTGTGGAGTGCTATGTGGACCCCACCATCCAGGGTTGGAAGGTGCTGCGGGTGCGTACCGACAAGACCGAGCCCAATCATCTCTCCGTCGGCCGGCGTGAGTCTCGCTTCCTCTATCCTGTCTGAGCGGTCCCATATGAGACCAACGTTTTCTTTTCTGTTACAGTGATAATGGAGAGTATCCTGTATCCCGTGAAAGCGGATGACGTGATCAGATTGGTTTCCATGCAGCGTCAAGCCTGCATGCGCGAAAAGGAGGGGCTTGCGAGGCAGGAAGGTGCAGTGCCTGGCACTTCCCGCGATGCTCCTATCCCCTAGTTCCCTGTCGACCCACTGCATCTTGTAAATAAAATTGCACATTCACACTTCCAATCATTTTCATCGTGGTTGGAACGTGTCTCGTGTATTTTTATTCTCTGCCGATTTTTGACTTTCTCCTAGAGTAACCAGTTGGTTCAGTTAGACATCTGGCTCTTATTCGATGCATCACTCAACGCGGGTGTGAAGGTGAGCTCCAACGCACTGCCTCTACTACATATAATGTTCATGTTTTCTGGAAGACGCTATAAGTTGCACAAGTCCGGAAGTGGCTTTGTTGTCAGCATGTGGAGAGTTTGTCACCAGAGCTCCGTGCCGCCTATGCAAGAATTAAGCAACGGGGGAGTGCTTATGTGGTGCGACTCGTGGCTGTGACGTCGTCTTATCCACATCATCGGCGTTGCCAATTATATGGGAAAGTTACATTTTACCAGAGTAGAGAACTGATTGTGGTGTGATGTTGAATGCATGGGTTGCTGAAGCTGGAGTACTTGTGAGAAATAGTCTTACGAAGGCGGCAGAAATCGCCGTTTGAGTTTCAGTCTTATTGTGCGTAACAAGTGATTAAGGATTGTGAGAAGTAAACACCGACTACGTACCGGGCTGCACTATTACTGTGATGAGGGCGCTCTTAAAGGGTAACGCAAACAGAACATTCACGCGTTATGGTGGTGGCCTTGCACACTACTATTCTATGTCACTATAACCGCTGAGGCTACTTCCTGTATTTTGAAATCTCATTTGCGTACGGAGCTGCGGTCCGTACTTTCACCGGCCTTTCACCATTCAAAATGCTTACCAGCCACGAAGTAAGCACCAGACGAACAGTGAAGTGTTGAGTCAACTTTTTAACGGACTTACTGTGACTGAAAGAGGGGATAAGGCAGATTTTTAACCTCAGGCGCGAGCGCCCAGGCTTGTTGCTTGACGAGCCAATCTAGCATCTCCCGAAGGGGGGATCTAGCACATCTCTATAAGCCTGTTTCATCACCCTGAGTACACCTTGAAGCAAGGATGAATTTCAAGTGATAAGCATTATTTCACTAAAATATCAGCTAGCCAACTGCGGCTCACTGCAATAAACTACACATTTATAAGGATGTACCACTTGTTGGCATGAGGAGGGGGCCTACTTGCCCTCAAAATCCAGCAAACAAAGAAACAAATCCTGGAGGGTTCACCTGGGCGATGCTAACAAACGGGAGAGCTGTGCATCAGCCCTCCTGTGCAGTAAGCAGGCGAGTTAGATCAGTTATGACCAGTGGAATGCCAGCTAGCACTGAGGAGGATGCAAACCCACATTTCTTCATAAAATTTTGACTATTTGCGTAATCGTCCGTTTCGGGAGTGCACAATGTTGTCTACCGGAAATAAGAGGAAGAAAAGACAAGACGGCCACACAATGTTATCTTCTTAAGTACCTGCTCTTTCTAACATTTAAAATAAAGTTGAGAACATAAATTAAATGGATACCAATTCGCCCATTTTAGAGGGAATTAATCGAATAAACTGTTCCTCTAAGCCTCCCAAATCTAACACAGTGCGGATTGTGGTTGTCCTCTAGAGGGTTCTGGTGGTACTCCAGGATCTATTCAGCATCAGCACCTCAATCACTTCTACTACGTTGATGCCCTTCAACGGTGTGCTTTCCCATTCCATGACCTCACCAAAACCCTGGGCTAATTATAACCACTTTCACCGTCTAGTGCTGCCATATTGCTACAGTACCGAAAACGGAATTAGTGCACCGAATGCAAGAAAATATGGTGGATTATTGAAGCACATAAACCAAGCAGCGACAGCGTTCCACGTCCCAGGTAATGCATAAGTAGCCGGAATGAAGTACCATCGTCCCATTAGTAGCTCAAATTTATAGATCCCAAATGAGTACAACCAATTCATGTTACGTTTCCGTTCTTTACTATGTTGAATACAAGGGATAGCCATCTGAACTTGTGGGGTAAATGTAAGGCTGAAGCTGCACGATTCCTATTTCGATGAATCTTGAGAACTTTTACCCATCTCTGTTCCCTCGAGTTTGATAAAGATGGGTTCCTATAGGGCCCCCTAGCTTCAAGAAAAATTAGTTATAGGAGCACCTAAGCAAGATTCAGGGGGTAGAACTGCTCTTGCGCTGCAACAGACACAAGGAAATTTACTACTCTCCGCAACCAAATTATCCTTTATTACCATTAATTTTCATATGCTTTCCCCCTTGACATACATTCAACTCCAAACAATACCTGAAAACTCCCACTATCAGAGCTGTCATTACCCTTTGTTTGTGTGAGCGCACACATGGTGGGAGAGGCAGAAAGGGGGAGAAGGACAAGGTCAACGTTACATAATAGTAGTAGTTGCAGTAGTAGGATATAATATATACAATGTACATACGCGCCTATTCTGACCTGCGCAAGACGCACAAGCTGCTTTCCCGAGCAGAAGAGAGGGAGGTGGTGGAAAGAGGCATGGCAGAGTTTGGCGCCATAAAAATGCGGATGCTGCTTCTGGTGGTGTTGACGACGGGAATCCCCGAAGCGAAAAAACCGATTGCTTTTCAGTACTAGGGGATTAGAGAGAGGCAGAGAAATAAGAATAGACTTTTGTACACAGCCGCACTGGCCGCTACAAGCGCAATTCAAAACACCCGCGGCTCTAATTTGATGCAGTCGTTCGCAACTGCTGATGGAGCGTAGGACACGGTATAAAGACTGCCAGAGGTAGCTGGCTGGGTCGCAGAGTAGCTTGCATGGTGGCCAGTGGGACAGCAGGCGGCGCTGTTGATGTTATTTGTGGAACCACGCACCACCTGATACTGACTCGAATTTGCCACCGTCATCTTTGGTGGTGCCAAAGGCGGGGAAATAGCCGTTGGACTTGGCGACGACCAATGCGCCGGCGATTCCGTGTCCGAACTTGGAGTGTGTCCGTTCGTTGCCCCAGCTACCCCCACAGGTCCTGATGACTGTCCACGCACTTTCCAATTCGCATCTGCGCCACTATACCCACCGCCACCACCGGGTGAAGACTGCTTCAGGCTCTCCAGTCCCGAGAATTGTGGTGGCGGTGGTTGGTCAAAAAAATACGCCTTTGACGTGGTGAGAGTGCTAACATCCCCCTCCCCACTCGCCGCTGTCGCGGTGGTTGTCGTGGCGATAGCTATGGCGCTGCTGCTACTGCTGCTATTTGTCGCAGTTGTGGTCATCGTTGTAGTGGTTGGTGCCAACTGCATTAAGAAACTCTCCCCTCCACCGCAGACGGAGTAGTCTGGGGGTTCGAACTTATTCCGCTTTTCGTAAGTGGGACCGTCAGAGTAGACGTTCCGTACAGTTGAAGTGACAGAAGGGGGTTGGTAGTATCGGGGAGGATTTGCTTGTTGGAAGAATGTTGGTTGGGGATAAGGAACGGTACGCCGGGCACAATGTTGCTGTTGGGAGGAATTGGACGAAGCTTGTGTTGGATGGGGGTGAAGGGGTTGTGAAGCAGACGAATAGACCTGGAGGAGTTGCACCACTTCTGTGTGACCATTCTGTGCTGCTAGTTGTCGTGGCGTACGGTCTAGATAGTCTGCAATCTCAATGTTGGCGCCAGCAGCAAGGAGCATAGAACAGGCCTCCACAGAGCCCTCACGAGCGGCTAGAGTAAGCGGCGTCTCCTCGTGCAACGTCTGAACGTCGTGGGAGGCACCGGCGCGGAGCAGTAGCTGCACCATCGCCGGCTGCTCGGTTACCGCTGCCCAATGGAGAGCGGTGCGACCCTCGCCATCAGCAGCATTTACACCGAAGGAATTGGCCGATAGGCCACCACCACCTCCAGCAGTCTCCTCCGCGGTGCCACTGTTCATTAACATTGTCGTGGCGGAAGTAGCGGTGCTGGACGACGTGGTGGTATGATAGAGGCGTGCGTAGCCCAGTCTCGGATCGAGTGCCGCAGGGCGTCGATTTTGCATCAGGGAGGAGGAGTAGCCCGCTATCCCAGTTCCAGGTGGAACCATTTGTAATGGTGCTGGTTCAGGAATTAGGCTGGCCATTGTCTGTAGCAAGAGCTCAACCATTTCTACAGAGAAAAATCAATCGTTGCAGAGCTCAAAAAGTAAAGGAATGGGGAGAGGAGAAGCGCACCAATATCAGCCATTTTAACGGCTTGAATAAGCGCGGTAGTTTTATCCTCAGTAGGACAAGCGACAAAGAGGCGTGGAAAATCGGCAGCGGCCTGACTAGAGACCAGGAGAGCGCGGGCGGCGTCTACAGCAGAAGCATTGACTGCTGTAAGAAGAACACTGTTGCCTTGCGCATCCACCGCATAAGGATCCGCGCCTGCTCCCAGCAGTGTGGAAAGCGCGCTTGCACAGTTGTACCTGTATGATAAAAGGAGCCAGGATTAAAATACTCCGATTTAGCAAAATGTATTCCCCCCTCTTCGTCTTACCGCGCAGCCAGATGAAGTAGTGTCTCTCCCGTTTCAGGTAGAGTGCTAGATAGGAGCTGGGCCAGGAGAGAAGGATTCTGGGATCGTTTTCCGTGTCTCTGCCCAGTGCTCCCAGAACCACCTCCGCTGCGGTACATTATCGACGCGTCCGACTGATGCATCTCCACGTTGCGTAGATACTCTAATTTCTGCATCAGTCCCTCGTTGAAGGGTTCCGTAAGGCCATCACCACTCACCAAGTGCTCCGTAAGACTCATAAAATAGGCCTTTACGTCTATCTGTGGCATTTGGGCCGTAGCGGCCATCAGTAGGGTAGTGTTCGACGATACATCCGCAGTTGTACCCACCTATAATAAATGCAGATTAATAGTTACTAGATTAGTTTAAGTAAGTATCCCTTTCCCACCACTTCTTCTTACACTTCCGCCAACATTATTAGTGGCGCAAACCTGCGAATAGCCCGCCGTTGTGGAGGTCGGAGCCGGTGGTGGTGGATAGGGGGAGGATCGCATTACTATTTTCTCACCGGCCGCAGCAAGAGCACGTTCTCGTGACCATAATGGTAGATGAGTACCATGCGGTGTTGTCATGGCGCGAGAGCGAGCGTGGACGCCCAAAGTGGGTGAAGCAGCAGTCGTTCCACCACCTGCAAGACTCGTGAAGCCTCCAAATATTCCACCGCTACCGCAACCAGCACCGCCAGCGGCACTCAGATGATGCCTGCCCTCACGTAAAGCAGAGTTGCGGGGGTACCAGATGGACGTTGTCTTAATCTAATGGAAAAACAGCTCATTCAAATCAAAACTCGAAGTTTTTTTTAAAAATACACAACGTTTCGATCAACCTTTTTGATGAGATTCTTCTGTCCGTATCCAGAGCCAGGTTCTATATCCTGAGTCTGTGCACGACGCTGCATGATGCCGTAAAGAACACCAATGAGGGAGACCAGAATGAGACCACAAACCAGACCGATAAGACAATAGATTAGGGTTGCAGGTAATCCCAGCCTCTGAAGTACGGTTTCATCATGACTGCCACCGAACGGCTCTTCAGAAAGAATCTGTTGTAGTGCCTCTGGGGAGGCCGTTTCTATGGATAGAATGTCCACTGGTGGTGTGTATCGGCGGGTACGGAGAGCGGCGGAAATAAACTGCGCTGCTGTCTCCACCTTGTGAAAGCAACTTTTGCCGCCTGTGAGGACATAGATAACGTTTATCAATGCTAGCTCTACCTATACATCATAAGTACATGTGTTTTATTCACATCATTTATTAACCACCTACCAGATGGCTGACAGCCGGCATCCTGGACCTCAAAGAAGACCCGACTTCCGATTCTTGTGTCGAGAGTCTCGCGACGTAGCCTAGCAACTGGAATGGTTGATTTTGCTAAAGGATCTGTCATCGTGGTAAGCTGAGTGAGCAACTCACTCAACTTGGCAGCCGCATTTGATGACGATTCTCCCCTCACTTCCCGATCGAGAATAAATTGGTTTATTGAGACATTCACTCCACTGCTGGTTTCAAGAGGGAACCAAAGGGGATCCTTTTGAGAGCCAAGTCTTGAAGCGGCCATTTGGGAAGCAGGTAAAGGCACTGGGTAAACCATGGGGGCACCCGTTTTCGGTTGCTTTCGAATACGCAGACCCACTCGCAAAAGATCTCTCAAACCGTCTAGAATTCGACGTTGTAGATCACGCTTTTCATCGTTTTTTGGAAGTAATTGGGAGGGTGGGACACCAAGAAGGAGGATTAGGCTTCCTTCAACTGGTTTAATTGATGGTGTTGGAGAGTACATTCCAGTGAACGGTGTACCAACTTGTAGCTGAAAGACATAAAAAAGGATATTAATTTTCGATTCGAAAAAGTAGAGTAAGATGGGTAGAAAAGGGCCAGAGCGTACTAGAAGTGGTTCTTTAAGACAGTCCCAGCCATCAAATAAACAGGCCTCGGAGTTACATTCAGGATCGCATTTTCCATCACCAAACCTGAGATGACAGGGTATTCCTTTCTCATGAATAGCAGTACAGTTGGCCCATGGTAAGGCCTTGATCAGCCTGCTGTCATAAGTTGTGAGTGGAATGGCAAAGGATTGAGTCGAGTAGAGGCATTCGCCAGCATCGAATTCACAAGCAAATCGGTCACACTCAGGATCGCAACGCCCATTGTTCGCCTTGCGCTGACACTCCGCCAACACACAGAGTTGAGCCTCGGCTGCCTCCCCAGGCCAGCGTTTGGGATCTGCGCTGGCTTCCAAAGCACATGCAAATCCACTAAGCTCACACCGTTTCCCACAGTAATCTAGATTCAGATAAGGAAAATAAGTCTATATAACAACCACCAATGATATTAGTAGATGTGTTTTCATCTAAAACGAACCAGGTGGACACTCGCAGGTGTAGTTCCCGAGACCGTCGACGCATTTACCTCCGTTGAAGCAATTTCCAGCATGGGCGCACTCGTCAACCAAATCCACCTCACAGAAAGTTCCTCCAAGACCTCGGGGACAGATGCACCTGAGGCGGGTACCTTCGCTGGTGCAAACACCGCCGTTCTGACAGACGCTGATATCATCACAACTAGGTGTTCGTAGTTCACAGCGTGGACCACTGAATCCGGCGAGGCACTGACAAACGAAGAATTCTTCCTTGGAGGAGGAAGAGGAGGACATTTCAACTCCCTGGGGACGGTTTATGCAATGGCCTCCATTTAGACAGACATTCTGGAAAAGAGAAGCCGGAGTGCACTCTGTAGGTTGAGAATTTCTAAGATAATGTAAGGTCATTCAAAGTAGATTTGGGTGAAGAACCGGTCACCGAATTGCTCATTCAGCCTAGCTGATGCAACTTCGAAGTCCCCTTAACCTATGTGAAGGTGGGTCAGGATGTCAGTTTTAATAGTATATTAAATAAATTCGAAGAGGAACAAAATGCAGTGTGAAAGATTTGATTCAAAGTGCCAACAGCTAGTAATGCTTTGATTCTGCACATCGCAGATCCCTTCTTTAAGGGTGAAAACGAGTTGTCAAATGGCAAAAAATTTGCCCTCGGTTTTTCTTGCTAAAATGCGCAATTAAGGCCTCATGAAATAAAATTATGGAAAAGTCCAGAAATTAAAATAAAAGTTATATGCTGTGGGAAACAGAAGAAAGGGAGTTAAAAAAGATGATTAAGCCTCCAAGTAATTAAATTGACCAATCACGATGCCCTTTCGTAGTGTTTGAGGATGTGTCTAGGTCGGGGACGGCCAGAATCTAGTTTCTTCGGCTTCACTTCTATTTGTATTTTCACAACTACTACGGGAGGCAGGTCTGAAAAACCACCAGGTCAGGGAGACAAACAGCTCATATCACTCGAGAAAGTAACAATTTTTGATCTGGCAAATTAGCATTACGATAGAAAGTAACAGGATTTATTGAAAATCATCACCTCTTGAAAATATCAAATAAATTTATTGAAGACGGTGCACTTATGTTAAATTCGTCTCGAAAATTGAGCATTTGTACGGCCCATTCCTCCAGAAATAAAGTCATTAACTCAAAATGCATACGTCAAGAATGATAAAACGACAAGTCTGCTTCGAATTCCAAAGTTTGCTTTGATTGAAAAGTATGAGGGAAATAAAACTGCAGTACCCAGACTTTGAAGCCATAATTTGCAAGGCGGGCCTGCAATTGTGAGTTTTGTATGGACAGTTAATCATTTTGATGGGATTCACAGTTCTTTTTACTAAGGTCTGACTCAACAAGGCTAATCTATCAAAAATGTAGAACTCCACCACTGGGATAAATGAATGAAATTCAACCACGGTATCTTTATCCAATTTTAAATTTTCACTAAACTAAATGAACACCGTATGAGAGGCAATTACTACCAACGCGATTACGACCGAATTTACAAAACAATCTTCATCCCATTCTAAAAAGTGTATTGAATCGCTCGAATTAATGCCACAGAATATGAGTTTATTTATTCTAGATGGAATAGATTCAAGTCTATTAAAAGAAGCTACAAAAACGTCCCATTCAACTGGTCAGACGGCCAACTCACCCCTCCACCAGCAAGCCGAAGACCGGCCTCGGCACAAAAGTCCCTCCACTGTTCGCAGTAGCGTCCCTCGAAGCCGTGACGGCACTGACACACAAAGTCACCGGTAGAACGTTGCGGCAGACACTGAAGAGTCCCTGGAGGGTAGCAGGGACCTAAGGCGGTGCGTGAGAGGTGCAGCGAGTTCAGCATCTCCGCTGTCGTGGCCGCCGCCGTCGCAGAGTCTGCAAGGAAGGCGGTTGTGGCAGCGGTGAGAGAGAGGGTGTGCTTGCTACCCAAGAGACGACCTAGGCTGCTGCTGCTGTCTGTGTCAGACTTGAGATTAAATTCGAGGAGCTGGTGGCAGAGATTGAGTGTCACCTCACAGTAGCGACCGTAAAATCCGGGAGGGCAGTGACACTCCTCTACAATGCTTCCTCCTGCACAGTAACCACCGTTCTGACAGGTCTGGAGGGAAGAAAGGGGTAAATTGAAATTGACGAATAGGAAGGTAACTGTAAATGGGTTATTGAGTTAGATTATTACAGTTTTCCTATCCGTTTATCGGAATCTGCTTCACTCTTCATGCACCAGTGCTTCTCCAAGACCCAAAGAGGAAGAAATGAATGAAATATTTAGGCAAAGAAAAGAATGAAAGGAGAAGGTCTGCGAATTCAAAAGTAGCTTTGAAGAAGCCGGAGAATGTCTAATGAGATAGGTTTGATACTAATTTACGGAAATTATTTAAAGTGGAGAATATTTGACTCCTATTCTCCATTCTGTTCTCCGCAAGGTAAACTACCACCAATTGAATGAGTTGTTTACTATCAAGCCTTTGTAGGGAATTACAGGTAATTAAACTTTCACGAAAGTGCCTTTAAAAACAACAAGACAGTCAGGTATTTGAGGTGCATTTAAAGAAAAACACAGACGGATAGCAGAGAACTCAGATGTCAATTTCGCTTCCAAAATAACTCACAAATCGCTGGCTCAAACGAATGTGAAAAAGGAGAAATGGAACATTAGGTGGTGAGGAAGGTGGAACAATAGATGATACAAGAAGACGTGGCGTCGTGGTAACTTTCATTCATTCTTCAACAATACGGAGCACTCATCGCCGCCCAAGAGCAGAGTGGGGTAGGAAGGAGAGAAGAAAAAGGGAATGCTAGATCCCCTTCCTTCCACTCCCCTCCACCCCACCCCCTCCTCCCACATCCCTGCCGCGTTTTGACACAAGGCGGAATTACTCGCACCCAAACCCGTCAATCACAAGTTTATGTTTCCGCAATACGATACAACAGTGCAGCTGGGACAACAGATGCAATTAAAACACCTATCCGAAAAAAGAAAACACAAAAGTCTCCAAAGGCAGTGGCCCACTAAATTTAGCTAGAAGATGAATATTTTAGAATTATGCGATTTAGGGTGGGCGAGCCGAGCAAAGCATGAGTCACGAGCTGCGTAGGTGGCAGTAGCGGTGGTGATGGTGACAGATATGTAGACGTATTCAAATGATCGGAAAAGTCAAGATGCACACAAACACACAATGCACACCAACACCTTTGAAGTTCATTGTTGCGAAAATTCTCGCACTTCCTGGGCTTGTGACTAGCACGCTCTCTGTATGCATGTATGATTACATGTTGTACTACCCGAAAGATTCATCAATGCGTAGGAGGATTTTTTATCAGTCTCGCCTCGTCTAGCCACTCGTGACTGTTTTGCCAAATTAGTTTCTTATCAGGTCTTTCATCTAAGTAACTCATTCAGAGAATTCAAGTCGTGCGTTAAACCATAACTTGTCACCAAAATCACTAAAAACGAAGTAGAACAACGTTGTCAATAGTTTGAGCTGCCAATCACATTCACATCCTAACGCTGTTGTAACTTTGGTCTCAGACTAGGTCTTCCACACGGCTAGCTGACTTATATGAATGGTCAAAATTTTGGTAAAATACATCTTCTCACTGAAATCACCACACAAAAATTCTGTGAGTCGACTGACTGCATTAGTGCATTCAAATATTTTGCTTGATAAAAGTTCGAGGTGTGACTTGGATCTGCTGTGGTGTTGTTCCAAGAGAATAACTGTATTCTGTAATAGCAACAATTTTTTGTCCTTTGCTTAGATTTTACGGAATTGATTACAAAAAATTGGTAGTTTAAAATGCAATTTGATGACAATGATTGCTTTTGCCCAATTAAAGGAAATCCTTTATTATCAAAAATGAAGTTCCCTGTTAATCAGCTATCCAAAAATATCCATTTGGAAAGATAAGAAAGTTGTTTTTCTTCACGTGACTGGATTACAAGTACTCATCCTACAGAAAACTTTTTCTCTGATTGATAATTCAAAATGGACACTAGAAAAGTGATCAGCCGACCTAAATTTTATCTAAGTGTAAAAAATAAAATGTGAAAAATAGCAAATAAAACATCAATGACTCCGAAACGCAGAGACTGGATTAACATATTTGCTACCAGTGACACGTGTGACTACCCGATTTCCCTATCTGAATCCGCATGTGTGATACATTTAATTAAGAAAAAATTCAATCGAGAGAAGAAAAATGTAGTAAAACTAAATGATGTTGTATTAAATCAGTAGAGGGCTTGAGTGTGGAGGTCGATTTTTTCTCGGAATAGTCAGCAAATATGCTAAATTTTACCCACAAAGTGACTGAATGGTGGTTAAATGAACGACTATCGCCACCGATACTACTGTCAAGTGATAAACCTGTGAAACAGCGCAAAGATGGACGCATCAATAGGCTCTAATCGCGTTTGAACAAGCACCGCTGCTGGCTTGACGACGAACAACAAGGCGACTACCATTCTGGTGCTTGCAGAACTAGTGGGCGTGCATGCGTGGAAGCTACCATGACTAACCATTTGGCCAGTTTTCACATACATACACCTACACAAATATGGAGTAGAGAGAAAAGCATACATGGTTTGAGCAAGGCGAGAAGGCGAGAGAGCGCTCACAGTGGCGTCCAGAGAAGTCTGCAGGACAACGACAGGCATAAGAACCAAAGAAGGCCATACACACCCCCCCATTGAGGCAGGGTCGTCGGGAGCACTCGTTCTCTTCCACCTGAAAGGCAACATTGAGAACATTTTTAAGAGCAGAACCCAAAAGCTCTACGATCTGCAGTTGAGTGGATGCGGGTGAGTGTATGAGTGGATCCGTGGGAACGGGGAAACAACTACGTTTGATTTCTGCCGCTCTATTCCCAGAGTACTGCACATGCGGCTGTGTATATACGATGGGTGGATGAGTGAGTGGGTGGGCAAGCGGACGGACATTTTTAATTGCAAAATATACTCCCACTACAATATGGGAGCAATTAATTGGGACAGCCACCCACTAACACAACGCCACCTTTCTCACTTTGAACACGGAATACATAGATATTAAAAGGATGATTCTTTATTAATACAAAGGTCATTATTTGAAGTAATTGCTGCGGAAACGTGCATCAAGTAGACTTAGGATAAAAGGGCATAAACAGTAATAAATGCATATCCAAATGACGAAAAACGCCTTAAGATAGAATAGATAAGGAGTGGATGGATAAATGAAAACGGGATGGATAGAATGGAAAACATGGAACATCTAAGCACGAACAAATCGGATACCGGTTGAAACGCCAACCCTGATTTATGCTGGAATTGTTAATAATCTTTTCACGGGCAATTTCAATTAGTTAAAATCGCGTATTCTGATAGGATTTTGAGAAAGGGGCTTGTGCTGAAGCTGCCGAGACTTGGTGTAAACAGAAATGAGGTCTTATAAATTTTTCTTTTAGAGAACTACAGAACATGAGCTAAAAAACACATTCAACTGTCCTACTATATGTACTAGTCCTGTGTTAACCCAACCACTACAGGACCACATTCTACAAGATGTGGAGATTTTACTGGCTCTCACCTCATAGGCTCATTTACTGAAGGTTGGCCACAGCGATTTCCCCTACTGTTAATGTATCATATGTGTTAGTGTTAACTTGGCTAGTAGAGATGGACTTGACAACTGATCCGATGGTCAATTTTATGCCCAGTGTGATAGCCTTTTTAACTTTCCGGTAAATTTATTGGTATTGTACAGCATACACACACTGTTGCTGAAAGCGACCAGAACTTGAAGGTAATTTCAAGTCAAGGGAACGCGCACATGATTATGCACGCACTTGTATGCCTTTGAGGGTAAAAGGTATGCGGAGATTGATACCAGGCTGCCTAGGTCGTAAAACAAGTCACAAATGGCACGAACTTCTGGAAACCCGCCTCATCTTACTAGAGAGAGGGAGCCTGTGGTGTGTACGCATGGTGCTTGCACTTTTCGCCGTGGATAGTGGAGGCGGTATGGTCACAACTGCGTCATGTCTAAGGAAGGGAAGGAACAAAAACACTAAAAGAACGCTTAATCTCACTTTTGTGTCTATGCGTAAGGGACGCCCGAGTGCCCCTATCCAAGCAATTAGAGATGGAAAGTTTGAAATATACTAGCGGTTTTTTGAACTTTGATGTGGCAAGTCCACGGTTCCGATGGGAGAATTTGTGCAGAGCCCTAACAAACCGAAGGAATGCAACAAAAACATATTCCGTCTGAGTGGAGAAAATGAATGCGCTTATTTATACCTACAAAGTTGGATATTTTCTGCGATGGATGAGAATAAGCGATAAACTTCGACATTCAACTGATTACTCGATTACAGTTACATTACAGGCCCCTTTGTTTCCACTAACGACTTTCGTTATTTACAACACTGACCACCTTTTCGGCTCAAAAACCTCAAAGTATTTGATTCTGCTAATATTTATCAACGTAAAGTAATGTAAAATCTCTATTCTTCTCAAATGGGGCATCTGGATGCAATTTGGTATAAAAATCTGGAAGTGGATGGTTATAACAAGAATGCTTTTCCAAGTAATAGGCGATCTCTTTACATTCTATTCCTCTTAGGAATTAAAATAGATTTTTATTTTTTTTAGCACCTTGAGTCATTTGACATACTTCACTAACACTCACTTCCAAATGTTTGCGTCGGGATCAACTTCTACGAACATGACCGCTTATTCAGATCACCGAATTCGCAATGTTGGATTTGGAGGCTTCTCAACAGCAATACTCGCATTTATACCGGGAGCGAAGAAACCTTGTAAGGTAATACGTCTCGTATCATTTCAAAAATACTAGGTAAAAATGATTATCACGACTTTAAAGAAACGAGCGCTGGCCTCAAGTGGTTGGACAAGATCTAATTATTGCAAAAGTTGCGTAAAACGATCCGTCCTCCCATTGTTTTACTATCAATTTGCGTCCTGAAGAGAGGAAAAACTCAACTTGGATAAATTAAGCGAACACCAGTAAGAAGGGGAGACTGAAGAAAGAATACATCAGTAGGGAATTGACACACCTCACAACGCGACCCACTGAACCCTGGAGGACATCGGCAAGTGGCACGACCATTGGCAGGGATGCAGACGCCGCCGTTGGCGCAGACTGGTCCATAAGTAGCGTCACAGGGATCCACCCGAGTCTCGCAGACTCGCCCTTCGAAACCCACTGGACAGCGACACACGAAGGAGCCAAGAGTGTTCACACACTCCCCACCATTACGGCACGGCTCTCCGGAGCACTCGTCAATGTCTTCGTCACAGAACGCCCCTTCAATATTGGACTAATCATTATGAAATGTCCATCCTATGCAATACCATTAATCCGGCTTTTGACATAAGTCCTATCATCCTTATTTTGTGACTTGTCTTTTTCAAAATTAGTCTTTTGTGAGCCTCCAATGAACGGGAGATTCATCGAACCAGTAGGGTTTAAAAAGTAAAGCAAAACTGATTATGTTCTGTCAGTATCGTGAGGGCAGACAAGAACCTAGCAATACTGGTAATATTATCGTCAAAATTTAGAGACTCCTGTCAGAGCACTGAAAGCAAAAATTTATTTTGCCTTGTTGGTGAATGTTTAGCCAAGGTTGTTTAATTTTGCATAAAATTTCGGAAGCTTATAAAGACAAGTAAATGTATACTCCAAAACCAAATGGAAATAAAATAAAAAGCCAAACGAATTCCCCTCATAGCATTATCAGAAGGTGTTTAATTCTCGACCCCCAAAACTAAGTGGCGTTCAAAAGGTTGTTTCTGAATGTAATGGGCAGGGCTGTCATTGCCCCATGCTGCAAAAACGGGCTCTTGTACAAATTGTTACAAAATGTGTACAGTGTAGGTAAAGTCCCAAGTAGATTATAAAATCATCTTTCCTCCAACTTTCTCGCCCACCCTTAAATGACGCACAAGCCTGTAAAATGTGAATTTTCGGCAATTTCAAAAAAGAACTAATTCGGAGTGCACACATTAAGTGTTTCGTGGCATTTTTGGAAAATACACAAGCTTCTAAATAAGGTTAAATTAGCTGCATGATGAACCGGCTAAAGCAATTTTAGTTCGGGCAACGACAATTGTGGTCAGTCGAAAGTAGAGGAAGGTGGCCGAATTGCAAACTGCCTTACACCACGCAACCAAATGAATCAATATTTTGGAAGTTGGTACATAAACTTACCGCGTCTTGAAAATGGCGTTTATTGTACATTAAATGTGGCATTTTATGCAGTTAGTTGATAAAAAACTCAGTGCCACCAAGTTGCAGCTACTCTCTTCACGATAGAGGAAATGTACTTAGAATGGCAAAATGCTTTATACAAAAGGGAAAAAATGGTAACAAAGTAGTTTTGAGAAACCGTACTGTTAGATAACTCGACATGTTTGTGATGTTTTAAATATACCTGGTTACAATGACTTTATGCAA